AAAATGGAGGGGAGGGACTAACTGTGTACAAATAAAGATTAGTTATCATGCCCCTTTATTCATTAGAAACCACAACTATTGTTCATGGCCATAATGAAGACCAAACCTTTGCAATTTAGTGAGAGCACTGATATATGTAGGTTTCTGGAGATGATAAATGTACAAACAATATATTTAAAATTAGACCAAAAATTTAAAAAATTAAGAACAATTTTTCACTGAATAGACTACAAAGTTTAATTATATAGCACTCCTCTTTAAAGCACTTTACAAATATTACCTTACACATAATCTTCACAGAATCCTTATGAAATAGTTAAGATAGTCCATGTTAAGGCTAAAATTACAACTCAGACATTCTTAGATCCCACTCATGCTTAGACCACTTGACCATGTTGCACTTACTACAAACAAACCATTCGTCAATTTAAGTCCGTCACACAGAATCTGACACTCAAATATGTTATTGGAACTGAAGCTTATCATGAAAATTATAATTACCTAGCATGCTGGGCTCTCCTTCCAGCAGTGAAAGAATATATTTGTTAAGAAAAAGAGTACAAAAGCTGAAAAAAAACCACAATGTGAGGTAGATGAGAGCATGGGAATTCCAGATGCCCAAGTCCGACTCAATGACTGTAGTCTCAGTGATAGTTATTTTCAATACATTTTCTTCTGATGCACTATCACTCCTGGCAATGACAAATTTCTCACTCCGGTTAGCAAAGAGGGGGCCCAAGTGAAATAATGACTTGCCCTTTGACTTTTCTTCAAAGACAGGAGGATCAAAGTCCTCCGGAGTCCAAGTGTTTGTTACCGAGGTCATGTTGATATCAGGAGACTACTGTTTGGTCTTAATATATTGTCTGTATTGACTTAGTACAGAACCTTACAGTGAAGAGACAAAAATAACGTTGTGTAATGAATCTTTCAGCTCCAATGGTCAATGAAAGTTTACTGGGTCCTTCAGACATCTTGTTTAGGAAAAAACTTTGGATGCTTCCTTCCAGTGATCAATTTCATTTTCTGAAGATTTAAAAATAAGAGTTCATAGCTCAGTGCAATTTCATTTTCTAAATATTTCACATTACAGTACAGAAATGTTATGTTTCATCTGCAGCTTATGAAGAAAAAGAAATGGATATGTTGCACTTTTTAAAAATTAATTTTTCCCTGTTAATATGATTAGCATATCAAGTCGTAGAAAAATAACTTGTCTAAACATCGTTTTTGAAGTGCTCGAGATAGCACTGGCAAAATGAAACCCACAAGTTCTGTTTTATTTTAAAGGTTCCCTCCCCATCATAATGTATTAGGTGAATACCTTTTCACTTTCAATTACAAACTCCATTCTTATTTAACTTACTGCTCTATGTTCTGCTTATTCATAGATTCCAAGGCCAGAAAGAACCATTCTGATTATCTATCTGACCACCAGTATAAACACATGCCCCTAAAATAATTCCTAGTGCAACTCTTTTAGAAATGCATCCAGTGTAACCACCAATAGGTAGAAAATTCTTTGTAAAAGAGTCAATCACTACAAGTCAGTTATTGGCAACAGTTCTATTCTCTTATGAGTTACACAAAGTTTGGTGAATCACAGAAGAATTTAGTGAGCAAAAAACAACACATCCTATTCTATACTATCTATTCTTCAACTACATCACATAATCACTGTAAAGCAGTTAAGCTGCCTGCACAAATAGAGTCCAAAGTTTGCAGCAAGGTCCAAAGTTTGCAATAAGGGCTGAATTGTTCTATAGTAACTTTTTAAAATCAACATAAAAAGCCACCAACAGATTTACTATTTTAGTTTGTAGTCTCTATTTTGGGACTGGAAGAGAGGGATGACAGGAAAATAGCTCAGGCAGAAGAGAAATGAATTATAGGTGAAGCCTTTCATGGAAACGTTACTTGTTCCAAATAAGTAATTCTTACATGAATGAGCAAGTTGAACAGGAATATCTTTAGACTAGAGTATCAGTCTGTGATGTAGTGTCAGTACGTTGCTGGTTGCTATGCTTGGGCTGTGGATGATCCCTGCTGACCTCTGTCTGTAAGCACGGCCCCGTGGGTGGGGGGGGCCTTGAGGGCCCCCATGACAGTGACCAAACCATCTTACCGGTTAAGGGAAGGGACAGAACAAAGGAAGTGAGTGTTGGGGGAAGGGTCAGTCTTTGGCTGGAACCATGAAGGAGACAGACTTGGGAGGGGGCTGGGAGTCTAGGGGCCCAGACACCCCATCTCAAGGGGTCTGAGGCATCCTGGCCCTTACTCCTGAAAGCACATCCCGTCTATGCAGTGCTGTACCCTGGAGGAGCAATAACCCCTCTCTGTTCTACTGGCTGGCGGAGCCTGTTTTTGCTGCTATGGGGCTGCAGGATTTGGGGGAACCCTGACTTGGCATCACAACCTATCTTTACACTAACCACAAGGGTTCTTACAACAAAATTTTTGATGGTCTCAGAATGTGGCCACCAACTCTTGCTGGTAGCCACTCTGACTAATACTTAATTAACTTTAGGAAAAACAATTTAATTTATTCATTTGGAGAGATTTTTTTCAGACAATAATAAAAATAATGTAGAGCTGTATTTTGGTGCTCCTGTCCTCTGCTGTCCCCCATCGCTCTCCCAGGCCGTTCTTTCTCCTGCCCCCATCCTCCATTGTCTTGAGCTCCTTTCCACGGCATTGCACCCAATGTTCATATTGATCGTGACCATGATGCAAGCTAAGGCCCTATCGTCCTGGGCCAAAGCTTAGAATTGGAGCCAATAGCTGAAGGTTCTCAAGCCTAAGGACCTCTGGTTGAACCAAGGGGAGGGGCTAAAGCCCACCCTAGAGTCCTGCAGCTGAAGACAGGTTGGGGAAGCTGATGCCTCTGAGTGCAGGAAGGCGCCGCTGCTTTGCCCTCTTTGCCATCTCTGCCCAGGAGACTCACATGGCAACCCAAAAAAAACCGGGTGGCCACATTTGAGAAATGCTGCTCTAAGACACTCAATTGACTGAAGAGTTAAAAATTCCACCATTTGGTAGCAGGCTAACTATGGACATCTTGACAACAATATGCTACAATGAGGTCGTTATACAACAGTGCACCTAAACAATGGTGGCACAGCAACACTACATGGCAAGTACAAAACCCAAAGGAGTTAGCAAGAGCTAATAGACCTGCATTTGTTTTATGGGAAAATGTTTATTCAGTAAATTGGCCAAGATACATGTTTGCTTTCTTCACTTCTTTTCTAAAACAGAATTGACATGAGCATTACAATAAAACCTTTGATAAATGAGACTGAAAAGTTCATAAAAAGTTTCACCATTTCTGTAGTCCAACTGAACTTCAACTATTTTATGTTGAAAGTTTCTACTTCAAAGATATTACTTTTATTCTGTAGCAAAACAACTTTTATTCTGTAGCAAAACAAACCTCCTCCAACACACCCGTCTCTTTCTATCAGCAGCAGAACACTCATTGCTATTCCACCTATGAGCTAAATATAGTTAGTATTATTTTTAAAAGGTCAAATAGCTTAACAGTACTGCAGTACAAGTTTTGGGCAAACTCCTTTCTTCTCTAAGTCTGACTCTATGAAGCATTGAGTTTTACTTAATTATAAACTCTATGGTAATACTGAAAGCCCCCATAACCTTTGGTTCATCTAGGTTAGCCTGGATTAACCTATATACACCATCAAACATTTATGAAGACTAAAACCATGGGATCTCATGATGTGAACATGACTAATTTTTGCAGCTGTTAGAGACTCAGAAGTGTAAGCTGGAAAAAACTGAATATTTTCTTGTGTTGCACAGTGACAGATTTAGGCTTGGTATTGATCTCTCTCTCTCAGATACTTAAAATTATCCCCCTAATATCTAAGCACCTAATAATCTAATGACTTGGCCTGCCCAAAGCAAATGAATGGTATAAATCTCACAGAAAAATGTGTAATTCTAAAGCACAGAGGAAAATAGTATATAATTGCTCTCTAGTCATTATTTGCTCATTATAAATGTATTAGAAATAGTTTCAATTTTCTAAAGGTTTCATGGAGACAGTTACAATCTTTGAGAAAAACTTAGGGATTCATAGAAATCAGGGAAAATGGTTTGACTGACCAGCAAGCTTTGAAACATCTGCAATCCTAATACCCTCTACTTCAAGTGCAGTGAGGAGGGGGTGTGTCTACACAGCAGGGCTTAACTCGCTAACGTCAATTGCATACCTTATTTCAAAATTGGGAGCACCTATACAGCACGTATTTCAAAACAGAGCACTCTTCCTCTGACTTCCCTTACTCCGCATACAGTGATGGTTACGAGAGACTAAGTGAGAAGTCTTCCAGCTTGACAGTATTTCGACATTATTTCAAAATAACTACCTGCTGTGTTGACACGGACTAAGCTATTTCAAAATAGTGCTAGTTACTTCGAAATAATGTTGCCGTGTAGACATACCCGAGCAAGCCAGTCAATCAGCTTCCCAAAACACCCATCAGCATACTGAAAGACAACTCTCGGTTCTATCTAGACTGCACACAAAACACTAGAGGTGGGATGGGAGGAAAACGGCTTCAACTGCGAACTTGTTCTAGTAAATCTGATTTTAATTGTCCTTGTTCATAGCTCTGAGAAACAGATCAACCACCATATCCTCTCTCAGACTGCCCTTGATTAAATTTAGATTGTAAATTGCTGAATCAATAAAGAATAGGCACTTGTATCTCTAGAGTCACTTACATCAATGAACCCTAATCTAGTGAAAATTTAGTTCCAGCAATTGTCACATTGACTTCAAAAGCATTACCTTCCTTAAGCATAGTTACAAATATGAAAACATTCACAAGATTGGACCTAAATATACTTACAACATGAAAAACACTGAAACATTTATGGGAAACTACATTAACGATATGGGGAACAAACTAAAATAGATTATAGCAGCTGCTAGCCAAGAACAATATTAAATGTCATAAAATATTTATCGTTATCATTCATAGCCATTTAATATATGGCAGAGTTTAAACTGACTCTCCTGTCTTAAGATCTGTACTGTATTTATTGAGCTGTTAATGAAAACAGGAGTTGTTTGCCACACAAAGTAACTATGTCCTCCTTCCAAGACTTGGTCTTAAGGAGGTAGGGGAGTGCAAGGACTAAAACCATGGAGATTACACAGCAAAACATCTTCCTAAATTAATATGCTGTTCCCTGATCAAGGAAGAATTCATTTTCTTAATTCTTATGGCTGCAAAATACTCTTTTCATACAAATGGGATTTTTTTTAAATATAGGTCAATGGAATAAAAAGAAATGATGCAGAATGGGGGAAAGCAATCAAGTTACTCACTATAAAGCAATTGTACTGTAGTAATACTCAGCTATTTCTGTACAAGCAGTACATTTGCAGATTAAAACAGATTGAAAAATTCTTCAGTCTCTGGCCTGGAGGTAGCTTCAACTGTCTTCAGAGCAATTCAGTCCCTGCAGATTTAGGACAACACTGGTTGAACCTCCCTAGTCCAAAAACTTTGGGACCTGTCCAGTCCAAGCCAAGGGAGTTTGCCGGACCAGGGGAGGTCGGGGGAAGGGGACGCCAGCTTCCCCGCTGGGCTCCTCTCCCCAGCCACCAGGCTCAGGTGCCCCTGACCCCACCAGCCCTGCTAGCTCCATGGCCTCTGGTGGCTCAGCTTGCTCCAGCAAATCTGCTAGTTCTATGAACTCTGTTGTCCCACCAGCTCTGGCAGCCTTGACAGTTTTGCTGCTCTGTAGTCTCTGCAGCTCCGTGGGCGCTGATGACTTTGCTGCCCCGCAGGCTCTGCTGCCCTGTTAGCCCTGCTGACCAGCTCTGATTCCAGCTACTGGCAAACTTTGCCACTGGGGCTCTCTAGTCCAGCAATATTTGTGGTCCAGCCAGATCATGGATGTTGCCGGATAAGAGTCCTGAACCACAGAGTTTCAACTTGTACTGGCAAGCTTCCCGGAGGACTCTCCATCTTTAGATTTCAACCCTGTTCCCT